CTAAAAGAATTTCAAGACTTTGCAGGCGCACCCTCTGTAGCCATAGTCCAGCTTCTCTTGTCCACCGGCCTCTTCAGGGAGCACAATTGTCTAAGCGGTTTGGAGCTCTTGTCAATTCAATTGTGGTCATACGTCAAAGACAATCAAAGACAGCGTGGCCATTGCTACTAGGAACAAAAAGCTAGTAGTAACAGGGCATAGCTCCTGGCATTAAAACTAGTAACAAGAAGCTACTAGGAGCAAAGGGCATCGCTATATATTAGGTGTGACTTCTCAAAACCTTTCCACAGCGCCTTCACACCACCTTCAAGCAAATGAGTCCAGTACCTTGGCACCAGTCTTTGGCTGGGATGCCTAAACAATCGAAACGCCCATGCTGGCCACTCAGGCGACAACCACTTGCTATGAAATGAAATTCATACTAGAGCTTTGCTTGGCTGGTGCGATGCTCCCGATGCTGGTATTCATTTGCTGAATTTAAGATGTGCAGGCTGGCGGACGCATGCGACCCTGTTGAGCCTGCGGTGTATGTTCGGTCTATTTCTGCATCTTTGGTAGTTATCTAGTTTGAGTCCGTCTTTCACCCTCAAAACGAATCGATGCCCACACGCTTGACTCTGAGGATGTCGCTTGTAGTGGGTATCTGTGCAGCAAAACTTCAGGTCGTGCGGAAGCTGCGGAAGGGCCCGGACCGCGACGAACCAAACGACGAGACACGAGACCGAACCGAGACGCACAGCGAACCGTTATTTTTTTACTAGGAACAAGTGCATCGCTACTAGTAACAAGTGCCTTACTACTAGTAACAATAAGAATTTAATTAGAATTGTAATTACTAGCACGTGTGTCAAGTGCAGCTGCAGTTTGAGTTGCTGGACGATTGGTTGGGGGGTCCAATCGTCTTGCTTCGTCTTTGGTTGTTTGGTTGACACATGAAGCTTGGCAATGACTCCATGCATGTTGAGGCTTCAACATATCACACGCCTATATCGTGTGGTGTGTGTGTGTGTGGAGGGCTCTTTCGGTAGACACAATAGAAGTCCAAAAGAGAATAAAGGAGCATCAAAGGGTGCTTGTCACCTTGGACTGCATCTCCTGATCCTGCTTCTCATAGAACTCCTTCTTCTTATGCCGATTCCATCCTTGACCCAAAGCATGGTCGCATAAATTAACACAAGACATCACTTGACATACCGTTGACAGGCAAAGTCCAATCACCTGTAAACCTGGCCCATTGCCATTGGCCTCCAACCTACGACCTGCGATGGCCTCACAGATGCACAACATCAAGCAAGAGGCAATCCAACACGAAACCATAGACTTAGACGTTCCATGCTCACTGTCTACGTTCACACTGGTTCCTGACCTCTCAAAACACCAAACGCCTTCGGCTCCAACAACCACACAGGCAGCCAAGCCAGTCGAAAAACCAAGCCCACTCCAAATCCTGTTTACACCTCCCGTGGCTCGAGGAATCCGACGGCCACGGCCATGCCCCAATTCTGCTCAGCGACGGCCACGTTTGCCCACATCTGTGAGCCATACACGATGGAAAACGTTCTCGCCCTGTGCGGCACTGAAACACATGAGAAGATCTCCTTTCCACCCTCTGAGACTGAAAGAGTTCCTCACCGAGAAGATCTGCTCCCAGCCTATCCCGTTCTCTCCAGTCGCACAGGGAAGCCCCATTTACGCTGCCAAACAAACCCTGAGTCGTTGGTTCTTTCATCAAAATCTAGAGAGGGTGCTACTTCATCCCATGACCCGACCGGAGTAGTTTTACTCTTTCCCACAACCCATGCTCTTCCCCTCGCCTCGGCTGTTTCCTTTTTGCCAGGGCAACTGCTGTGAGACCAGGGCCTTGGTGCGAACCCGTGTCTTCGCACAACTCCCAAAGGCCCTCGGGCTGTAGAAAGGGGACATCTTGCCAACAGAGTAGATGAAATAGAGATGAAAGAGCAGGTCGTGATGTCAAGATCTTCAAGATGTCCAAAACCTGATTCTTCCATCTCAAATCTTCCTCTTTTCGGCAAGAAGTCTGCGGGATTCTCTGCATAGCCAAACGTGTATTGTCCCAAGCTCAAGATTCTTTGGGACGGTCTTCCACCAACCTCCACCACGCAGCGCCACAGCGCTCTGGTCTGTTGGAATCACATGTGTTTCACGCTAGGGTCCGAACTTTGGGTGGGGATGCATCACCATAGGCAGCTGCCTCTTGTGAAGGCCTGTCTCTGAGATCGGGAAGTCAAACGAATACAAAGATCTTTGCACCCAATTTCTGTTCAATCCTGCGTCTCTAAACGCTCAACGCAGACATGGTTAGTTGATGATGCAAGAAATGTGTCAAGTGTCATAGCATCCTTTACGTCATGATTAGTTATTGGAGTTGCGTCGATACATCAAACATCAGTAACCACGTAGTTGGTGGGTGCAGCAATGGCTAATGGACCAGTCCGCTACCACCAGTCTATATATTATCAAAATGGTTAATGAATTAATGGATGGTTGTCAGTTCCTGGCTCGAATTGATTCTTCACTGAGTCTTGGGCTCCATGTGCGATGGAAAGGGCGTTCTTGCACAGTAGCCTGGATATGGAGATTCGAACGGAATGTGGAAGACCCACACAAATACTATGCCTCATTCTCTTGACAGGTGTCATCACTAAGCATGAAAAACTGGGCCACAAGGCCCCTCACTAGTTTCACATACACAAAAGCATTGCCAATCCACGAATCACTTTCCTTCACAATTGAGTCTCCCTGCATTGCCGTGAACCTTCGTGTAGGGCTCCCTGAGGATGTCAAGCGCCGTCTTTGGGCGGGAGCGCTGTTTGAAAAAAAAAAACTATATGTATATATATATATAGATAGATAGATAGATAGATATATCTAGCTATATCATCTCGCTATATCTAGATTTATCCAGTTAACACCCTGGAAGAATGCGAACATGGCATGCCATGGCACGCCATGAAATGTTGAGTGTCTTGAAATGAGAAAGACCCTCAGTTCGACCCACTATTGGGGGTCTCCCTATTCTCATCTAGCCGGATCCTTCCACGATGAGGATTCTTCGCTACAAGACTTTTAGGGAAGTCGGAACAATCTGGGTGCCATGAGCCACACCATCTCCTCAAAGTTGGAACATGTCCCCCAGACGATCGAAGTCATGGAACAAAGTGATCGTTGGAGGAAGCATGCAAAGAAAAACTGTCTGTTTTCTTGGGGGTTTGCCAGGGTGCCCAAATTGGAACCAAGCTGCGAATGGCTCGACCGTGCTGCTCTTTTGCCGAAGCCCTCGCAAAGGGCGCAAACATCGATTCTGCGAAGTGGTTGGCTCTTTTCATGGATGATGAAAAAGCACCACGGAACGATGGATCTGGCAATGTCAAAGCAGGTCTCGCTGTTCCTTTTTGTGTCCAACGGCAGGGAAACATGCAAAGTTCGAGCCAAAGCGTCCTTTGAGCTCAAAATTCTGCCATACGTACAGTGAACAGCGCCATCTTTCGTGCTTGAAGTAGCAAGAACAAGCCAAGGAGCAAATTCAGAACTCTCAATCAAGTTGAAAAACCGTAGCATGACGCAGAGGATGTTTAAACTCTGACAAACACGCCTCAGCCTCACGTTGGTGACTGTCTGGGGAATGATCCTGGAAAGTGCAAATCGGTGCGCAAAGGCCTGAGCGATATGTGCTTAATTGTTTCTAATAGCTTTTTGTTACTACTAGTAAGGCACGTGTTACTAGTAGCGATGCACTTGTTCCTAGTAGCTTAATTTGTGCGAGTAGATTGCTTCTTTTATGTGCTACATGGGAAGCCTAGGCCATCATTTGTCCTCTAGATCAGTAGACGCAGTCACGAGGATAGTAGTTTTGTATAGTTTCACCAGTTGCTCTATAGACTGGAGAACAGGAGCCTACAAGCCGAAACGTTGGGACGCCTTTTTCGGGATGGACTTCCTCTGTTGGTGAGCCCCAACTTGCAACCCCCCGGTCTGTCGCACGCTCGCACAATCCCAGTCCGGCTGTGATAGCATGCGCGGCCTTATCTCACTTCGGCATCCTCGATGGCAAGACGGCTGTGAGACATGTGGAGATGGATGGCTACCCCTGCGACATCAGTCAGTAATCCTTAGGAATTAAAAATACCAATACCAGCAAGAGCAAGGACGCTACGTGCGGGGCTCCTGGCCTTACTACTAGGAGCAAGGACGCTTTTCCCATACTGTGGCAAAAGAGCCCTCCAAAACGTGCCCGTTTTCGCCCGGTTTGCGTTTTGGAAGGCACGACACGTAGCTTCGCGTCCCATCCCCTCCCGCCTGACGGGCCCTCCGCCAGGGTTGAGAGGCTGCTCATCAAAATGCTCATGACGGGTGGCCTCAGCATGGGTCGGCTGCACTCAAACTGGGCGGTGGAACCTTCTTCCGACGTCAAGTGGAGAGCACAAGTGGAGCGGAACAAAACTGGACCTTGGAGTTTAAGCCTTCGGACCGCCAAACCAAAGGACATCGAGTCTTAAAGAGTATGGTTTTCCAGATCCATCTTGATTACCTGGATCAAGGAACCCTCTTCCTTCGGACAGTCACTGAGCCCACCACAAATACGATCACTCTGTGATGGTATTCTCTGAGCCCAAAGGGCTTCGCCGGGCTAATTGTTCGATCACTTGAACTTCAACTGCAAAGTCACCACTTCAAATGGCCCAAACATCATTTTGGCCTAAACTTCCTGAATTCATTTTTGCGCTCCAAAACCTGCTTTGTGCAAGACATGTCAGATAGGTAAGGTCACGTGCTTTGTACAACCGGGACAGTCTTCAACTTGCCCCAGCCATACTGAAAATTTGAGTTTCCACGACAAGCAAGCATAAGCGCAACGATTGCAGCCAGAGGTAAAAGTTGGATTGTGTCTATATAATAAATGTGCATGTTATATATATATATATATGACTACATGTTAAATATCTGGAAGTGCTACTTTTGTTATTTCGTTGCTGCCTATTCTGATGGCAATCTCAGCAATCGTTGCCCTTGAAAACTTCACCAAAAGACTGAACAACCAAGCTTTGCAAGGTGCTCTTCTCGTGCGAGCTCACGAATTCTCACCGTTGAGAAGTTCCTGAAGCTTCATATTTTCAGACTTCGACGGCAACGCGTTCGCTCCGATGGCGACCCTGACAGCGTTTAGATATGGCTGCAGCTCCAACCTAATAGCGATGGCCTCCAAACTTTTAGCAACAAGAAGAAGGAAGACTTGGGTTCATGCTGGCAAACTCACCAGCACGTTCTGGAATGACCCATTGTGAGAATCATACGTATATGATCCTTTACATGGAAATGCAAAAAAAAATATAATACGTATGTTGTATGATGTTATATTACATTCTCGATGATACCTGCACCCAATACCTCCTCTTTCTCATAGAACTCTCCCTTCGCCAGGACGCAAAACAAGAACCAGCCGAGGCACGTGTCAATGCTCTTGACTGACCTGTCAAAATCTCGCTGTCAATTCGCGGAGCCGAACAAACATCGGTCATTGACCCTGAGCAAGTTGCCTCCCACCGACTAGCAATGGCCTCCAACCTAATAGGAAAAGGAACCTAACAGCAATGGCCTCCACCCTAATAGCGAGGGCCTCCAACCTAATAGCGATGGCCTCCACCCCAGTAGCAATGGCCTCCCCCTAGTAGCAATGGCCTCCACCCTAGTAGCAATGGCCTCCACCCCAGTAGCAATGGCCTCTGCCCTAGTAGTGATGGCCTCCAACCTAATAGCGATGGCCTCTACCCCAGTAGCAATGGCCTCCACCCTAGTAGCAATGGCCTCCATTCCAGTAGCAATGGCCTCCACCCTAGTAGTGATGGCCTCCAACCTAATAGCGATGGCCTCTACCCCAGTAGCAATGGCCTCCACCCTAGTAGTGATGGCCTCCACCCTAGTAGCAATGGCCTCCACCCCGGGTGAAGTATCAAAAAAGATTACCGCATCAAAAAAATATGTTTCGAGGGGATCAATTAAGAACTAATTACTTAATCAAAAAAACTATTCTGCCACGAGCTCTCTGGGATAGAGCGGGTTTCTGAATAGTACCTAGCTAATTACAGCAATTTCGTGTCCTTAGCAGAGACACAGGTGTCGTAGCTGGCCCAATACATTAGAATAGTGCAGGCTTCATATTGGTTGCTAGTCGATTAGACTAATTCGGGAGCTGTCGCAGCTGGCAAAATACATTGGAATAGTGTAGGTGTGAGAGAAATTCCTACCTATCACAATAGTTTGGTGCAGTTAGCAGAGAAACAGCAAAGAGAAAGAGAACTAGCACAGGAGGCGTATTTGGTTGGTTAGAAATTTTTGCACCGGGGAGTTCACCTTAAAATATTGATTTCGTGGCAGGCGCGGGCGTCGGAGATGAAGTGCAGATTTCGTGGCGCGGGGGGGGGTGGGGGGGGGGGCGCAGCGCCCCCCCCAGCAGCACACCAGATCCAAAGGTGAGCAGCTCGTGCTTGCTTGCTTGCTTGCTTTCTTGTTTGGTTTCTTCTCTGCAAAGCAAAAAAGGGAAAAGCAAAAACAAAAAGAGGAAGGAGAACAGCTGCCAAAGCAGAAAAGCAACAAAAGCAAAGAGCAGAAAGACAAAAACACAAAAAGCAGAAAAGCAACAAAAGCAAAAAAGCAGAAGCAGAAAAGCAGCAAAGCAGAAAAGCAGCAAAAGCAAGAAAAGCCAAAAAAAGAACGCAGAAGCAGAAAAGCAACAAAAGCAAAAAAAACAGCAAAATCGGAGTCAAAAACAATACAAAAACAATCCCGGAAAAAAAATCCATTAACCTGGTTGATGGTTCTTTTGTTTATTGTTGCTGCTTAATTCTATTCTTCATTTTCCTTGTGGTCCTTCCTTTGTTACGTTGCTTCTTCCTGCCTTCTTCTGTCCGTGCTTCCTTGCCTCCTGGCTGCCTTGCTTCCATCCTTCCTGCCTTCCTCACTTCCTACCTTGATCCCTTCTTTCCTTCCTTCCCTTCCCTTCGACCAGGGTACCAGGTACCAACGGCACCAGGCGACCAAGGGGACCAGGGGACCAAGGGGACCAGGGGACCAAGGGGACCAGGGGACCAAGGCGACCAGGGGACCAAGGGGACCAGGACGACCATGTGGACCAGGAGCAAGCATAAAAGAGACGGGAAAGGAAAATAGTTACTTTTTGACTAGTTAATTAATTTGTTTTTGATTACGTAATTAATGTTTTTTTTGATTCAGTAATTAATGTCTTTTTGATACACATGCCCTCCACCCCAGTAGCAATGGCCTCCACCCTAGTAGTGATGGCCTCCAACCTAATAGCGATGGCCTCCACCCCAGTAGCAATGGCCTCCACCC